GGGTGGCGGACACTGAATGGAGGCCAGTGGAGGGATTGGCAGAGGGGAGGGGGGTGGCGGACACTGAGTGGAGGCCAGTGGAGGGATTGGCAGAGAGGGTGGCGGACACTGAGTGGAGGCCAGTGGAGGGATTGGCAGAGAGGGTTGGAGGACACTGAGTGGAGACTAGTGGAGGGATTGGCAGAGAGGGATGGAGGACACTGAGTGGAGGCCAGTGGAGGGATTGGCAGAGAGGGGTGGAGGACACTGAATGGAGGCCAGTGGAGGGATTGGCAGAGAGGGTTGGAGGACACTGAGTGGGAGCCAGTGGAGGGATTGGCAGAGAGGGGTGGAGGACACTGAGTGGAGGCCAGTGGAGGGATTGGCAGAGAGGGGTGGGGGATACTGAGTGGAGATCAGTGGAGGGATTGGCAGAGAGGGGTGGAGGACACTGAGTGGAGGCCAGAGGAGGGATTGGCAGAGAGGGGTGGAGGACACTGAGTGGAGGCCAGTGGAGGGATTGGCAGAGAGGGGTGGAGGACACTGAGTGGAGGCCAGTGGAGGGATTGGCAGAGAGGGGTGGAGGACACTGAGTGGAGGCCAGTGGAGGGATTGGCAGAGAGGGGTGGAGGACACTGAGTGGACGCCAGTGGAGGGATTGGCAGAGAGGGGTGGAGGATACAGAACAGTTAGTAATGTGGATGAGTCTGGCAGCAGCAATCATGATAGACTGAAGAGGGGATAGCCTGCGATGAGGTTGACCAATGAGGAGGGAGTTACAATAGTCAAGGCGAGAGATAACCAGGGAGGGAATACGTTGCTTGGTGCTTTCAGAGGTTAAGAACGGGCGTATCTTGGAGATGTAGACATCCTCCCAGAACCATGCGTCTCCTGCGGCGCGGATCTGACACACTCTGTCACTGCTTCAGACACAGCTGATCACAGATCATGGTAAAGGGCCAATCATAGCTGATCACATGTAAACAGATTGCCAGTTATTGGCAATCCTTTCCTCCCACACTGTGTCTATGGGAGGAAAGGAGAGCTGTTAACCAGCAAGCCTGTCAGGACATCGTTTTTGATCCTCAGTGCAGCCTATCATTCGTGCCTCCTCATCAGTGTCCATCGGTGCCTCCTCGTTATTGCCCATCAGTGCAGCCTCATCAGTGCACACCAGTGAAGGAAAAAATTACTTGTTTGCAAAATATTCTAACAGAAACTAAGAAAAACTGGGATTTTTTTTCAAAATTTTCGGGTTTTTTTCGTGTTGCAAAACAAATAAAAAACCAAGTGGTGCTTAACCCCTCGCCTACCGGGCACTTATACCCCCTTCCTGCCCAGGCCAATTTTCAGCTTTCAGTGCTGTTGCACTTTGAATGAAAATTGCGTGGTCATGCAACTTTGTACTCATATGAAATTTTTATCATTTTTTTCTGACAAATAGAGCTTTCTTTTGGTGGTATTTACTCACCGCTGGGTGTTTTTTTTTTTTTTTGCGCTATAAACAAAAAAACAGCTAAGAAAAAAAAAAAGTTTCTTTGTTTCTATTATAAAATTTTGCAAACAGGTAATTTTTCTCCCTTACTGATCTGTGTTGATGAGGCTGCACTGATAGGCAGCACTAATGAGGCGGCACTGATAGGTGGCACTGACTAGCGGGACTGGCTGCACTGATGGGCACTGCTGGGTGACACTGGTGGGCACTTGTGGGTGGCACTGCTGGGCACCGATCATCAGGGCATTGATCAAAACGAATGCAGCCACCACATCTAATGATTGTGTTCAATACCGCTTTAACATCACTACATGGCAATTCTTACATCATTACTCCCGCCAGACTTTTTTTTTTTTTTTTTTTTTGCCCATTCTTATGTTATTTTCCAGAATCCTTCACATTGAAGGGTATATTTTTGTAACAGTGTGAAATAGTTAACCACTTGACCCCCAGAGGATTTACCCCGCTTAATGACCAGGCCTCTTTTTGTTACTTGGCGCTGCATTAATTCAACTGATAATTGCGCGGTCATGCAATGCTGCACCCAAACAAAATTTACGTCCTTTTTTTCACACAAATAGAGCTTTCTTTCGGTGGTATTTGATCACCTGTGCGCTTTTTATTTTTCACGCTATAAACAAAAAAAAGGCCAAATATTTTGAAGAAAAACAATATTTTTTACTTTCAGCTATAACAAATATATAGTAAACTCAAAGTTGGTTATAAATTTAGGCCAAAATGTATTCTGCTCCATGTTTTTGGTAAAAAAAATCCCAATAAGTGTATATTGATTGCTTTGTGTGGAAGTTATAGCGTCTACAAACTATGGTATAGATAATGGAATTTACACCATTTTTCTGCTATACAGCGCTGCGCTAGTTTAACGGACAATTGCGCGGTCATGCAATACGGTACATAAATGAAATTTACATCCTTTTTTTCCCCCACAAATTGAGCTTTCTTTCGGTGGTATTTGATCGCCTGTGCGGTTTTTATTTTTTGCGCTATAAAAAAAAAGGCTGACAATTTTGAGGAAAAAAAAACATTTTGGACTTTTTGCTATAAAACATGTCCAGTAAAAAAAAAATGCAAAAATCAAATTTAGTCATAAATTTCTGCCAAAATGCATTCTGCGACGTCTTTGCTAAAAAAAAAACCCCCCAAAAACACTAATACAGTGATCAGTGCAAAAAAAAAAAAAACCACTGACACTGTACTAATGGCACTGAGGAGGAAGGGGTTAACTTTATTTTGCAGGGAAGGGTTATAGGAGTGAGGGGAGTGTTTTACTAGGGGGCGGGGTGTGTACTGGATGGGACAAGGCTGATCGAGAAAGAAAAACTGTTCTTTCTCGATCAGCTCATCCTCGAGCTGACAGGGAAGTGACAGACAGCACAGCTACTGCAGCTGTGCTCTCTCACTGTTTGCCGCCGATCGCTGGGAGATAGCCGCTAAGGACCAGCTGTGACCCGTCGACTCACATCTGCGGCGGTGATCGGCGGGACAGATAGGGCGGCGGCACGCCTCGCGCGCGCCCCCTAGCTGTTTACAAAACACATGTTTTAAAACGTGTTTTTTCCTGCCAGTGCCGTCCTGCCGCCGTATATCTACAGTGGCTGGGTGGCAAGTGGTTAATAATTTACCACTTTTCAGTGCATTCTGGACATTTGGGAGGTTCTCCTGTGCTTATCTTTAAAAAATGCTTCTAAACGCAAACTCACATAAACGCGGTATACAGACGTTTTTTTAACCTCCGTTTTCCAGCAGTCAGTTTCCATCGTTCAGAAGTGTCCCGTGTACATGGGGCCTTAGTTTTCCCAGATTGTATTAAAACCTAATATGTGTTCTTGAATATCTTTCATTCTACTAATTGCCATAGATATACAAAAATATACCCTTCAATGTGAAGGATTCAGGAGAATAACATAAGAATGGGCTAAAAAAAAAAAGTCTGGCGGGAGTAATGATGTAAGAATTGCCATGTAGTGATGTTAAAGCGGTATTAAACCCAATCATTAGATGTGGTGGCTGCATTCGTTTTCCTTTTTTTAGTCCCCCCTCCCCCCCGTTTTCACCTGGTGATCTGGCAAGTGACACACCTCTTGTTTTAGAGCGCCTCACTCTGGATGATGGAGCACAGGGGGCACCTCTGGACAGCAGCATTGTCAGTCTGGGTGAAGGGGAGTGTTAGATGGACTAGCACAGGGGTAGGCAACCTGCGGCTCTCTAGCTGTTGTTGAACTACATTTCCCATGAGGCATTGCAACATTACAAAACTGACAGTTAGGGCTCGTTCACACTTGGCTGTTTTGCCAACGCTTGCCAAACGCCCCTATAGCGTTTGGCAAGCGTTGGTCCGGCGTTTGCGGAGCGTTTTTAACGCTCCGCAAACGCTCCGCAAACGCCGCATGCGCGGTTTAGCGGCGGTTGCTAGGCGTTTGCCGAGCGTTAATAACGCCCCACAAACGCCTATAATGCAGTTTGAGTGGTGTTACCGCTCCGCAAACGCCCCGCAACCGCGTCGCAAACCGCACCGCAAACGCCGGCCGGGCGTTTGCGGAGCGGCACCATAGATGAGAATAGGAGGCTTCAAAGCCTCCTGACTCGCCCAGAGGCGTCCGTTTTGCCGCGACGCAACGCAAACGCTCCCGTTAGAACAGCACAATGTGCAGAGTTGGCAGAGGCGTTTGGGAAGCGGT